TCGGAGAGGCCGCCGTACCTGCGCACGGAATGCCAAGGATCGGGGCCACGGGTCGTCAGCAGGACGGAGTGTCAGCGGACGGAGGCGTCTCGGAAGTGTCTCGGAAGTGTCACATCGGCGTCTCGAGTCGCACCAGTCCAGCAGACGGTACTGCAACGACGACGCGGCCGCAGCAGCAAAGTAGGAGCGCTCGAACGCGGGCAGCATCGCGCGGCGCCATGCGGTTCCGTCGGCGGCGATGCGGCCGCTCGCGTCCGTGCCCCGCTCCCCCTCGGCCGGCAGCCCGCGCTGCTTAGCCCATGCAGACCTACCGCATGGGCACGCTCTGGGTCGGAAGAGAGCTGCTCGCGAGCAGCGCGCGAGCAAAAGTGCTACGATGCCCACGGCGTGGGTGCGATGGGATGCAGCCGACGTGTCCTCTCGAGCGCCCGTGGGATGCCGGCGGTGTACCACCCCCCTCCCCCCCCCCTCCCCCCCCCACCCCTCCCGCATCTCCCGCATCTCCCGCATCTAGATAGATCCCGCATCTAGGCTCGCAGACCACGCCGCCTCGACAGGTCTCCAGTCGACCCCGCCCAGCCTCACCTTGCGCAACGCGCCGTCGGCGAGGGGGGCCGCAGCTGCCGCGGCGGCGTTGAGGGCGTCGGAGGCGCTCTCGCCCTCGGCCGCCCCCGTCCCCTCCCCCCCCTCGCCTCCCCCCTCGCCTCCCTCGCTCAGCGTGACCCACTGCTGCCCGCGAGAGACGTGCAGCAGCATCGCACCGATGGTCAGGTCGCGGCGCAGGGCGTCCTGCCGCGGCGAGCCGCGCTGGTCGCGGCGAGGGACGCGGTCGCCCTCGTCGTACACCTCCTCCCCGATCGTCGGCATCATGTCCACAGTCAGTCGCGTCCCGCCGACCGTGAGCCGCACCTTTGCTGTGTCGACCGCCTTTGCACGCGAAGCGTCCGACAGCGCCGTCTTCAGCTCGACGTCGGTCACGCCCAGCTCGGGGCGCCGCCGCGCGTACCGCGGGAGCTCGGCGGTCAGCGACCCGATGGTCACCTCCCGCCCACACTGCCGCAGGCAGACGGAGATGTCGAGGTCCGCCGGCGGCGCGCCGAGAAGCAGGTCGCGCACATAGCCGCCGGAGAGGAAGAGGGGCGCGTCCTCTGCGGTGTCGTGTAGGAACTCGAGGAGGAACCCCAACACAAGCTTCTCGCGCTGCGATATGAGTGTCGCCACCATGCCGCGAGGCAAAAAGGATCCGTGCGACAGCGGCTCGCCGGATTTGCCAACCCACGCTGCGTCGAGCCCAGAAACGGACAGCGGCTTCGCGCCCCCAGGCGGGGCGCCCCGACCAGCCCACGCACGCTGGGTCCCGGTCAAGCGAACGACGGCCACGCAGGCCAGGACGCCCATTAATCCCACCATTCGGCGTGGGTGGGACGCTGCTGAGAAGTGGTTCACCGAGCGTAGTTCTTTTTTTGAGCTTACAATAGCCTTCGATGTTAGGAAACAAAGAAAGGCAAGGCGGACATGGCATATCGCTCTCGGGCCCACAGACATCCCGCACACCCGCCGCACACCCGCCGCCCCCCCGCGCGCCCCACCCCGGCAGGGAGAAAGGGGAGTTTTGGGAAGGACAGCCGAGTACTCGAGTATCTTGCACTCCATGTGCAAGCACGCAGAGAGAAATGAAAGCCGTCCGACCCACAAGTCCGGCTCACGCGCCCCGACCTTACCATCTACCGCACTGAACACTTTCGCCCCCTCGCTCCCAACCCATCATCCATCCACCTCGCCGCGAGGCGCCGCGCGATCTCGGGCGATCTCGGGCTATCTCGGAGCTCCGCGCCACGCCGCCCCCCCTCTTTTTTTGCATTTACTGCCTGTCCCGTGCCTAGTGAGAGAGATTTCTTGCCTAGTGTAAAGAAAGAAAGAAAACAGACAACCCAAGGGAGGGATGGGAGGACGGCACGCCGCCACCACACAGGGATTTTAAGGAGAGGGGTGTGATGCGCTAGCCGTCTTGCCTAGTGTCGTGTGAGGGAGTTTGGTTGCAAAATTCTTTTTTGAGCTGGCCTTCGGCCCTTCACAGCAGACATGTCATGACCTCACTGTTACTTGCTCGGCTGGGCGGACGCTGCTGAGAAGCGGCGCTGAAAAGAAATATCCGGAGGTGCCAAGTGGGCAAGTGCCTTCTCCTGGATCTGGATGCGAGAAACTGCGAAGAGAGGTAGGAAGAGGCGGACGCCCCGAAGGGTGGGCGACGGCTAGCGCATCACATCCCTCTCCTTATAAAATCCCTGTGTGGTGGCGGCGACGTACGGCCTCCCATCCCTACCTTGGGTTGTCTGTTTTCTTTCTTTCTGTGTCGAGCCTGTCTGCTGTGAGAGAGAGTTCTTTTGTTTAAATTCTTTCTAGTGCATATTCTTTTTCCTTCGCGGCACGCGATGGCGGCAAGGCCTCTCTGCGCGCCCACCCTCGTCACGCAGAAGACCAACGGGCGTCGGACCGCGGTGAGACCGCGCCGCCCTCCGCGCCCGCCCGCGCCCGCAGCGTGAACACATACGCGCGTCCCTCGCCGCACGGAAACATACGCGCCAGCCGCGCACACAGCCTCACATGCAGCGCAGACCGCATGCCCGCGCCCTGGGCCGCCGACGACCCGGTCGGGCAGGCTGAGCGGCCGCCGCACACCAACAGGCAGGCGCGCGACCACCCACAGCACGCCGCAGCCCGCCGCGCAGCCCTGCCAGACAAGCCTGCGCCTCCCAGCTGCACAAACAGGCGCAGAACAGAGTACAGCACACAGCACACACCGGCGGCGCGCGCGCGCAGCACACGCAGACGCGCACGCGCATCCAACACGCACACGCGCACAGCACGCGCGCGTCACACGCCAGCGCAGAGCCACACACAGAGCACACTTCCCATCAGCAGCAGCAGCCTGCCACAATCCACAGCTCACACACGCGCGCACACACTCCCCCCTACCGGCGCACGCATTGGGCGTCGCCGAGAGCTCCCAAAGCTGACTTGTGTGGCTGCTTGTGCTGCCAAGCAGGCAGCACAAGCAGCCACACAACCCAAAAGCTCACTTGTATGGCTGCTTGTGCTGCCTGCTTGGCAGCACAAGCAGCCACACAACATCCCGCTTCATCTCGCCTCCTAGTCTCGCCTCATCTCGCCTCATCTCGCCTCACCTCGCTTCATCTCGCCTCACCTCGCTTCATCTCGCCTCACCTCGCCTCATCTCGCCTCACCTCGCCTCATCTCGCCTCACCTCGCCTCATCTCGCCTCACACCTCGCCTCACCTCGCCTCACCTCGCCTCATCTCGCCTCACCTCGCCTCATCTCGCCTCATCTCGCCTCATCTCTCGCCTCATCTCGCCTCACCTCGCGCGGACATGAGGAGCCTCGCAACAGCCCAAAACAATCAGCAATACCATAACACGAGGCGAGCACGACGTACATGACCCGAGACCGACCCGAGATCGACCCGAGATCGACCCGAGATCGACCCGAGATCGACCCGAGATCGACCCGAGATCGACCCGAGATCGACCCGAGATCGACCCGAGATCGACCCGAGATCGACCCGAGATCGACCCGAGATCGACCCGAGATCGACCCGAGATCGACCCGAGATCGACCCGAGATCGACACGAGATCGACCCAAGATCGACCCGAGATCGACCCGAGATCGACCCGAGATCGACCCGAGATCGACCCGAGATCGACCCGAGATCGGCACGAGCGATCAACCCAACAATGCCCCAGAGCCCCCTCCGGGGGGACCCCCCCTCACCCCGAGTGTCCGTGTCCTTCGCGAGTCACCGATGGGGAGCGGGGGGGGGTGCGAGATGCACAGGGGAGGCTGGGGAGGGGGGGGTCCACTCTGAAGACTGCCGACCGCGGGGGGGTTTTTGTCCCACAGGGTTTTTACCCTCCGCGTGAGGATCGGCGCGGCGAGGGGGTAGGTTCGAATTCGCCGCGCAACATTTCACCCCCACAGGACCCCGCCCACCCCCCCTCATGGTCCCACCTAGCACCCCAATGAGCTTTCGCACCCCCTCCTTGCGCAGTGTCCCCCACTATGTGTCGCCGTTTTCGGGGCACGCTATCCTGTGCAGTCAGGGCAAGTGGGGGCGGGGGGCGGTGGACCTGCTGCGGCCACGGCCGATGAGCTCATGCAGCGTGGTGCAGGCCTCAACTCAGATGCCGACCAGCCTGGTCGTGGCGGCCTACGAGCGGCGTTGTGTCCGGTCGACGCTTGAACGAGAGCGTCGAGCAGCGGGTCACCCGCAGTGTGCCGCTCGAGAGCCTCCTGGGCCGGAATCCGGGCGCGGGACCACGGAACACGCCCAGGAGTCGACTCTCGCGGATAGCCGGCCACAGTCGGGCCGCCAGGAGCGAGCTGGCGGCGACGCTCAAAAAGGCCTCCATCGCGGGCGGAGGGGAAAAACATTACCGATGGGGTCTATGCAGTCACTCGAATTACTTGGACCTCTCCTGCAAGTAGAACGAAACATTCTTGGAGCTTCCCCCTACATGCAGGAACGCATCTCATCCGTGGCGACGCGCTGAGCCACCGAGCCGTACTCGGCCGCGCCGCCGTGTCGAGGCACGGGTCCCCCGCCAAGCAGCGACGCCGAAGCGTCGACCGATAGAGCGCCACGCCCAGCAGTATGGGCGTCGACCGCTCTCTCGAGCGGCCGCGTGGCAGTGCGTGGCGCGGGCGCCACGGGCGGCAAGCGTGGAGCCGCTGGAAGAGCCGGTGCGAGCCGTGGACGGCAGACGCTCCCCACGTCGCCGAGAGAGGCTGCGGGAGAGGGTTCAGGAGGCCACCGGAGGCGCCGGGAGGCTCGGGAGGCGCTAAAAGGTGGCCCGGGCACCTCGCGCCACCCGTCTGGTGGGGCCAGGTGGGCTCAGGAATTAATCCAGGATTTTAAGGTGATCCACTACACCTGACCGAGAATTGGATGCGCTGCAGAGAAGCGGCCCGAAAAAGAATTTGAAAAAAAATCCGGCCGCAAGTGCTCCAAGTGCTCCTGGCCCTGGATGTGAGGCTACCAACTGCACTCCAAGTGCTCCAAGTGTGCAACTGCCGCCTGCGCTTCCTCTCCCATGCAAACAGCCCCCGACCCTCTACCATAGACGCCCAATCGGCCGTGCACGGCATCCGCGCATCACCCCCGCGCTCTCCGAGAAGACACTGCCCGACGTCTCACACATTCCGCAGAGAATCACAGCGCCATCATGACCAGCAATACACAGAGCAGCCCCCCTAGAGACAGACCATGAGACAGACCCACGACCGGCCGGCGCGTCAGATCGCGCCCGAGAGCAGGTAGTTGGCCGCGTGCTCTTGGTTGCGGCCGCACTCGACGAACGCCTGCACGGCGCGGGGCCGCTCAAAGCCCATCGCGACCAGCGCGCCGACCTGCGCCTCCTCCTCCTCACTCAGCGGTGGCGGCCGGGGCGGGGGAGGCGCAAAGGCGCCGCCGCCCGGCACGGGCCCGCCAAGCATGCCTCCGAGACCACCTGCGATCGGCAGCTGCGACCGGCGTACAGCTGCGACCACTGCCGCGTCTCGCGTCGCGTCTCGCAGCTGCCTCCGGCGCTGCTGCTCCTGCGGGCGCGGCACGAAGCGGCGTGAGCACCGCCGCAGCTGTACGCCGCCTGCCCCCCCCCCCCTTTCCCGCGCCGCCGCCTCGGCGTGGGCCAGCTGCGGGAAGTGTCTAGGAAGCGTCGAGGAAGTGTCTAGGAAGCGTCGTGCGCCTCGGCGTCGGCCAGCTGCGCCTCGAGCTGCTCGACGAGCTGGCGCACTTCGCGGGCGGGCGGCGTGTCCTGCAGCGCGTCGAAGAGGCGCTCCTTGTGTCTAGGAAGTGTCTAGGAAGTGTCCTGCAGCGCGTCGAATAGGGGCTCGTTGTGTCTACGACGAGTAGGAAGTGTCTAGGAAGTGTCTAGGAAGTGTCCTGCAGCGCGTCGAATAGGGGCTCGTTGTGTCTACGACGAGTAGGAAGTGTCTAGGAAGTGTCTAGGAAGTGTCTAGGAAGTGTCCTGCAGCGCGTCGAAGAGGCGCTCCTTGTGCAGCTTGAGGAAGAAGCTGGTCGAGGCGAGCCTGTGCCGGCGCCGTACCCGCGGCCTGAGTGCGGTGCTGAGTGCCGGAGGGACCACCGGAGGGGAGGGGCCACGCGCCGGTTCGAGATCAGCCGCGCCACGAGCGTGTTGTGCGCGCCAGACGGGCTCTGGCCCGCCGCCTGCAGCTCGGCGCGCATCAGCCGGCAGAGCACGGGCTTGGCCTGGTCGACCACGACGTTCTCCTGGGAGAGGAGGAGCATGCACGCCTCCGGAGGGAGCGGCATCTGCGGCGCGGCGGTTCGGCGCGTCAGCTCGCGCTGTTGGTGCAGCTACGGCCTCAGCTACTCGCGCTGCTGTTGCTGCTGCTGCTGAAGCCGGCCGCTGCACTACTGAAGCCGGCCGCTGCACTACTCTGCAGAGCTGCTAGCGCGCCGCTCCCTCGCCGCGCCTGCTGCTGCAGCGGGGCCGCCTCGGCAGCCGCATTCTCGGGCAGCAATCGGTGGCCTGGCGCCATCGATCGGAGCATCGCCTCGTACTGCTCATCGCGCGCCTCCTCGCCCTCCACCTTGCGCAGGATGGCGCGCCTCGAGCGGAGCGCCTTTGTCACCTGCCCCGGCGGGAGAGGGCGGCGGGGTGAGGTCACGGGCTGCCCCGGCGGGAGAGGGCGGCGGGGTGAGGTCACGGGCTGCCCCGGCGGGAGAGGGCGGCGGGAGAGGGCGGCGGGGTGATGGGCGCGCAAGTGCGAAGCGGCTGTTTTGGCGCGAACCTCGCTCGAGAAGTCGGTGCGGCAAAGGACGCACTTGCGGCCCATCCGGTCCTCGATGTGGCGCCTGCAGGACGGCTCCAAGAAGGCTCAGACAGGGCTCCACGCGCCTCCCGTCCCGGCCCCTCGGCGTGGCGGGCCGTTGCGCCGTCTCGCCAGCGCCAACCATCAGGACCACGGGCATCCAGCAGGCGAGGTGGACGGTGTGGCCGCACCTGAGCGTGACGGCCTCCGCCGCCGCATCGCCGCCGAGCTCGCCTGCAAGAGAGGGTTCCGAGAGGGTTCCGAGGAGGGGTTGGCTCTGTGAGCCGCAGTCGCCGCAGAGCGCTCGCCGAGGCAGACTGGGCAGTCGGGCGCCCGGTCTGGTGGCGTAGGGACCGTGCGCGCCGTCTCGGTCTCCGGCTCGTCAGAGGTGGCCATGGCGGCCTCTTTTTCCGGCGGGAGAGGGTCGGCGGTGCTCGAGAGGTTGGCGAGCGTGGCCAAAGCGCCATCATCGCTTGTGTCCATCTTGTCAGCCTCCGTGGCCGTCGCAACCTTCGGAAGCGGTTCGGTGCTATTCAGCAAGGTTGCGAACTCCTCCTTGTGCATGCCGATCAGCTCACCGATCGCGGGCGTCTCCGCGCAGAGGGAGGTGAGTCCCGACACGAGCGTCCCAGAGTCGCGCCGCGCAGCATCGACCACCGCAACGAGTTGCGGGATTGAGAGGAACTTGGCGCGGATGTCGTCGGGCATCAGTCGGCAGCGCGGCGAGGCACGGGAGACCAGACCCGGGGAGGCCCGGGGAGAGCGGGCGACACAGATGAGGTACGGACGAGCGGTCCGCAAGTCAGGCACCCGCAACTGCCAGCAATTGACCCACCCGCCCCCCTCCACCCTCTAGGTGTATTGTTGGCAAATCACAGAGCTCACACAGAATCACAGCGGGAGGAAAGCGGCGAGTCGCAATTCCTGGGGTCCTTGTGGCGGGCCACCCTGTCCAGAGAGGCATGGATGCCAATCTGGGGTCTCGCCATGATGCGTGTCGAGCAGCGGCCGCGGCGGCGGGGCGGCGGGTGGGGCGGCGCGAGCGTCGGGGCGACGGCTGGCGGTGGCGGCGGATCTGCGCTGTCCATCGCGTGCCAGAACGACCACCTCGAGTGCGCCCGGCTGCTTCTCGAGGCCAGCGCGGCGGTCAACCAAGCCAACCAATGAGAATGGCGCCACGCTGCTTTTCATGGCATGCTACCAGGGGCGCCTCGAGTGCGCCCGGCTGCTGCGCGACGCTGGCGCTGACATCAACCAAGCGATGAACGGCGGCGCCACGCCGCTGTTCATTGCGTGCCAGAAGGGCCACGTCGATACCGTCCGGCTGGTTCTCGAGGCCAGCGCAGCGGTCAATCAGGCCAGCAACATCGGCGCCACGCCGCTCTCTATCGCGTGCGAGAAGGGCCACGTCGACATCGCCCGGCTGCTCCAGCAGGCTGGCGCGGCCGTCAACCAAGCAAACCACCCCGCCTTTCTCTCCCGGCTACTCCTCGAACCCGCCGCTTCGGTCAGCCAAGCCAGCGCCAGAGGCACCACGCCGCTGTATATTGCGTGCCAGAATGGCCACGTCGAGTGCGCCCTGCTGCTTCTCGAGGCCGACGATTCGGTCAACCAAGCCAACAACCTTGGCTCCACGCCGCTGTCCGTGGCGTGCCACCAGGGCCACCTCGAGGTCGCCAAGCTCCTCTCGTCCTACGGCGCCTCCCGCGCCGCTACGCACTTCGGCACGCCCGAGGAGTTCGCGAACCTTTGCGGCCACGCCGATCTCGCCGCTTGGCTGGTCGCCAGCCGCGGCTGGACGCCGCGCTCCAGCACCTCGAGGCGTGCCCCGAGACTAGCGGCTGAAGAAGCGTGAGCGCGTTGTCCTCACGCCCATTGCCCCTCTTCCCGCAGGCGCTCACCGTCGACCGGGCGCGGGCGCTGCTGCGCGGCGGCGCAGACTCTTCAGCCGGCGAGCCGTCGGCCCTCGATAGCGGGCGCGCGTCCTCTGCTCGTGGGGCGAGTCGGTTCCATCGTCGCGATCCACTCTCTCGTTTCGCGGCCGTCGATGAACGGCAAGGTCGGCGTCGTCGTCTCCGCGATCGCTTCGACGGCCCGCTTCGGCGTGCGCGTGGCGGGCGAGGCCAAGGCACTCGCACTGAGGCGCGCACTGCAATGGTCTCTCCCCGACTCGCCGGATCCTCTCTTTGACACACCCAAGCCTCTGCCCTCCCTCAGGCCGGCCAACCTGCAGCCAGCGGCCGAGGCGGTGGAGGTGGGCAGGCTCGTCCTCAAGGCGGAGGGGTGGTCGCCGCAGTCGCACGAGCTCTTCCCGGAGGCGGCTCGCAAGTGTGCGGTCGAGGTGATGCGGCTGGGCTACCTGATCGCTTGGGACGAGGAGCGCTTCGACGGCGAGGGGGCGGCGCCGGGGCTGGTGGACCTCTGGCGCAGCTTTGTGCTGCCAAGGGTGGTGGCGCGGGCCGCCGCCGACGCACCGCGTTCCCCATGATACAACAGCGTGTCTTGGTTCCGACTGGAGTCTCGAGTTTGAGAGCTGTTGATACCGTTGTTGTCTATGTGTGCAGTCCAGCTAGGTGCAGCCGTCTACGTCCTTGCATAGTGAGTACTGAAGACTAGCTCGCTATGTAGGGTATGTCCGACAGCACGAATTTGTGATGGGACACCATCGGGACCCAACAGTGCGATACTTGTGGCTATCGATCGCACTGTTGACGTACCGGCGGCTAAGGCCGAGTAGCCGGTGTTCACAGAATTCTGTGACCTCGCGAGAGAGTTTTTCTAGAAACGTAAAACACTCGGTGTCGAAACACCTCTCCGCCGCGCTCGACTATAGTCTGGCCCTAAACCCGAAATAACAAAAACGTTAGTTCATGCGCGACTTGCTCGCCTTTGTCTCGCTCCTGACCACAGTGGCCGCCCAGCCAAGGTCGCCGCGTGACCCATGGTCGCCGCGTGACCCATGGTCGCCGCGTGACCCATGGTCGCCGCGTGACCCATCCCCTGCTGCGCCTCGGAAGCGTGCCCGGATCAACTCGCACGTGGGCTCCCGAACTCGTGTTCCAGCACCTGGGACCCTGGACGTCTCAACCTTTGGAGCAAAAGCGGACAACATCACTGACAACACGGGTCCCTTCCAGGCAGCTCTGGACGCGTGCAGCGACGCTCACGGTGGAGAAGTATTCGCTGGCACCGGTAACTTCCGGTTCAAGGGTTCCATTTCGATCCCTCCGGGCTGCACCCTCTCAGGAACCTACGTTGTTGTGCCCTCGCACGATCTCCGCAAGCAGAGGCAGATCACAGATGGCACTGTGCTCATCCCGACAGGTGGACGAGATCTTCGCGGAGGGTGTGATGTCGATTGCACGGCGTCGTTCGTCACCGTAGGGCCCAACGCCATGCTTCGCGGCCTCGTGATCTACCACGAGGAGCAAGAGAGGGCTGCGGCTCCCGTTCCTTATCCATGGGCGGTCTTCCTCGGGGACCCCTACAAGAAGCACGGAGGCAGCGCCGACAACGCTGCTGTCGCCGACATCGAGCTTCTTGGTGCATGGAACGGCGTGGCTGCCGTCGGCTCACACCGCCACTACATTGCGCGGGTCCAAGGGCAGCCGCTGAACATTGGAGTTTTTGTGGATGAAACCTATGACATCGGTCGCATCGAGGACGTCCACTTCAACCCTTGGTACAGCGACGCTCACCCCTTTGTGTGGCATCAGACCACTCATGGCCGAGCGTTCGTGATGGGCCGATCTGACTGGGAGTACGTCTTCAACACCTTCGCATTCGGCTATGCCATCGGCTACCACTTCATCGAGCGGGCGACGGGCTCGATGAATGGCAACTTCCTGGGCATCGGCCAGGACCTCGCCACCAACGCCTCGATTCAAGTGGACCAGTCTCAGCCGTTTGGCATCCTGATCACCAACGGCGAATTCACCGCTTTCTGTGACGGGAAGGGCTTCAGCCCGCCATCGTGCAAAGATCCAGCCCAGCTGGTGGTCAGCGCCCAGAACAATGGAGCGGTCAAGCTGGTCAATTCGGCGTTCTGGGGCCCAACGGCTCAGATTGCGAAAGTCGACGGCAAGGGCACTGTGACCTTCTCTCAATGCCACTTTGATTCCTGGGACAACTACATACACAACGGGACGCGAGTTCATAGTGGCACGGCCGCGATTCAGCAGTTTGGCGGCACGCTCATTGTGACCCAGTCAGAGTTCACGATGGGCGCCAATCAGGACAAGCCCCACGCGCCTGGTCACTTTTGGGTGGGGCCCCGAGCCAAAAAGACGATCATCAGCGAGAATATCATCACAGGCACCCTCGCTGTGGTTAATGAAGGCAAGGGGAAGACCATCATCGCGAACAACGCCGATGACAGTCCCTGAGCAAGATCGCCACCTCTCATCGTTCATGCGATGCCACCCGCGTCGTCGGTGCAGCTCTACAGTATGACCCGCAATGTATGTTGTATCGCCGTGTACGTTCTCGGGTCGTCCATGTGCGTGTGCAGGGTGCATGTTGAAACCTGTACGGAGCCGTGTGCGTGTGCCTGAGTACAGGACCATCGTTACTGAGTTGGTTCGTGTGCGGTGTCTCGCTAGCGCATGCCGTGCGGTGCGCGCTAGCGGAGGTGTACGTACGTACTTTTAGCTTACTGGGAGAAAAGAGTTGAGAAAAGAGACAGGGGGTTGTGTTCTCTAGGCCCCTAAGGGCCCTACGCGCGGCGTGAGGTGTATGATGAATTGGTTCGGACAAAACAACACATTACACCGCTTGCTTACCGCGCGGGCGCCGCGCCGTGAAAGAGAGCGTGGCCGTCGGCTCGCAGCTTTGGGATCTCCCCCCACACCAGACATGGGTGGCACCAAGGTGCACCGCATAATGTGTGGGGCTCGTCACCACTCTCGGCCGGCGCACCTATCCATGGGCATGGCGCCCATATGCCATAATCGTTTGCCATTTCGTTTTCGTCCGGCGCGGACAGGCCGGACGACTCCGCTCGTCTCCGGTTCGTCGAGACGACCTCTCGACGTCGTCGGCGTCGACATCTCATGACGACATCATCGCACGCGACGATGTACCGTGCAATTAATCTCAAGTATAACCAGTTTCGTCTGACGGTTCCTTCGAGATGATACAAACAAGGCGAAACCTGTGTGAATTAGTGTATTAGATCGAGGTACGAGGAGCCCCTCTTTGTCACGATGCGTGACCGCTCCCCGCCGCAGTGCCCGCGCCGCGCGGCGGCGAGAGAGAGGCTCGAGACCGCTCGAGCCCCTCCGTGGTGTACAGGTTGCGCTGGCGGAGGACGTCTGTGCGGGTGACGAGTCCGACCAGTGTGCCGTCGTCGGCCACGACCGGCAGCCTTCCGGCGCTCTGCTCGATCAGGATCGCCTTCCGGGGAAGACCGCGAGAGTGGGGGGGCGGGGGGCGGGGGGACGAGTGAGGAGTGGGGCGGGGTAGGGTGCTGGAACGGCGAGGAGTGAGGGGGCAAGAAGGTCGCGGGGGCGAGACGGGTCAGGGATGTGAGTGGGGACAATGGTCGCTTTTGTAGACGCCGCTCGAGGAGAGACCACCCCTCGGCGACACCTCGACAGCATCGGGGCGGCATCGGGGCGGCCTCTCACCTCGAGCTCGTCGAGAGGCGTCTGCGTCGGCACGGTGAGCGTGTGTCGCCGCACCCAGCTCTTGACGCGCTGGCCGCCCTTTGAGGCTTGCGCCGCCTTCATCACGTCGCGGTACCTGCGGCGCAGCGGGAGACACTTCCTAGACACTTCCTAGACATTGCGCCGCCTTCATCACGTCGCGGTACCTGCGGCGCAGCAGGAGAGCGCGCCGGCTCGAGCCTTGCGAGCAGAGGGCGGGGGCGCCGGGGACACGACACGACAAGGGTGGTGGTGGGGTGGGTGGGTGGGTGTGGGTGGGTGGTGGGGTGGTGGTGGGGTGGGTGGGGCGGGGGGGGGGGGTTGCCCTCCCCGCATCTATGCGTGGCCCGCCCCCGTCCCAGCGGCGCATCAGTGCGTTGAGGTCGACGGGCTTCCCGCGGGCTGACGCGCGGCCCATGAGCGAGAGGTAGACCTGGAGAGGTGAGATATTGGTGAGATATTGGTGAGATATGGGGAGATGAGCGAGAGGTAGACCTGGAGAGGTGGACAGCTGGTCAGTGTGGGAGGACAGCTGTCCAGGGAAGGGCGAGCTCGTGAGGGCGGGGAAGGCGGGCGGCGGGCGCCTGCTGCTTCGCGTTCTCGTGCGTCGCCGCCAGCAGCACCACGTCAAGACCCATCAGCTGCAGCAACTCCTCGGCCACCGCCGCCATCCCCGCCAGGAACTCCTTGCCAGAGTCGAGGAGCACGCGGCCCACCTGCAGCCGGGACGACCCCGTGCGACCTCCGACTGCGATCTCGTGCGATCTCGTGCAGTCTCGTGCGATCTCGAGCGATCTCGAGCGATCTCGAGCGATCTCGAGCGATCTCGAGCGATCTCGAGCGATCTCGAGCGATCTCGGTGCGATCTCGAGCGATCTCGGTGCGATCTCGGTGTGATCTCGAGCGATCTCGAGCGATCTGGAGCGATCTCGAGCGATCTCGGTGCGATCTCGAGCGATCTCGGTGCGATCTCGGTGCGATCTCGAGTGCATCAGTCCGCGGCCGACCTGCAGCCCCTCGTGCACAGACCGCTCCGTCTGCGCGAGCGCCGTCGAGAGCACGTCTCGCTGCGCCGCCGAGAGCCGCGCGTGCCCGAACTCGGCGATCGCATGCTGCGACGCGCCCGCCTAGCCGCGCAGCAGCTACGGCTCGAGGCGGGCTGCAAAGTGGTGCTGTGGGGAGGCGAGCGGCCAGGGGGGCTGGGCGCCTCCATCAGCCACACCAGCGCGTGCCCGTCGCGCGCCGTCGTGTCCGGGTACGACAGCGCGCCCGTGTCAGCGCGGATACCGAGCGCGAAGAGCGTCGCCTGGAAGGGTCTCGGAAGTGTCTCGGAAGTGTCTCGGGTCTCGGAGACCCCCGCGAGCACCAATCGGGCGTCGCCTCCGCCTCCGACAGCGGCAGCGGCGCGCCCTCCTGCCCCTGCCCACCCTCGCCACAGCCCGCGCCCTCGCCGCCCGCCGCGCCTCCCACCCCGCCGCCCGCCGCCCCGCCGACGGCGTCAAAGAGCGCGCGCAACTTCTCGACCAGCACGGTGGTGGCGGAGCCGACGGGCTCGATGACGAGCTCGTCGTGCTGGATGTTCGGCGTGTTGTCCACGTGGTGGTCGTACACCGCCACGTAGCTCGCGCAGTCGAGCCTGCGGCGCGGCGCGGACTGAGCGGCAGGCGGAGGCCGAGGTGGGGGAGAGGGAAGGGCTGCGGCGGCGGGCTGGCGGGCGTACCAGCGCGCCGCCGGCCCGAGGCGCTCGCGGGTCTGCGTGTCGACCACTCCCACCGCCCGCAGGTCGGACGGGTTGATGGTCGAGAAGCCGCGCACGGGCAGGAGGTGCTTGTGGTACGCGAGGAAGCGAGCCACGAGCGGGTTGACGCCGCGGGGCATCACGACGTGCGTGGGCACCTCGGGCCGCTGGTAGGACCACAGCCGGGCGAGAGCCACGGCAGCGGCCAGCGAGTCAAAGTCCGTGTTGGTGTGCGTGAGCACGACATTGCACGGCTCGGCGTGGTCGCCGCTTGGCTCGGCCGCGCTCTTGGCGAGCGCGCGAGCAGCGGAGGAGCGAGAAGCGCGCGAGGCGCGGCGCGTCTGGGGAGCACCTGTAGGAGCGCTCGGCAGCCAGCTCGGGCCGACCGCCCAGAATGCGAAGAGCATGGGCGAGGGGCTCTCTCCAGAGAGCCTGGCCTCGAAAAAGAAAAACGTGGTCACGAAGTGGCCGGGACAGGGGGAACAATAGAGCCAAGTACAACAAAACACGATTAAAAGAAACGCGGCATGCCGCCAAGCCGCCAAACGCGACCTGGCCTTCCTCTGGCCTTCCTCTCTTCCTCTCTCGCACCAACGCGACGGCTCGCCTTCCTCTTCGCGCCGTGGCCACCCGCGACTGTTTCCCACACGGCGCTGCAGATATGGGCGACGCCCCAGCCAGCCTGTCGTCCTTGCCGCGGGACGTCCTCCTGAGCGTGGCCGGCGCGGTCGATCCCGATGGCCTGCGGCTCCGCGTCTGCGGCGCCGACCTTGCAGCAGCCGGGTCGGCCTTGCGCAGCCGCGTCGAGCCACTCGAGCGGCTTGCTGCGCTCCGTGCTTGCTGCCGTGCACTGGCGCGACTGCTGCCTGCGCCTGACGTGCGGCTGGACCCGCGGCCTGTTGCGGTGACAGGCTTCGGTGGAGGTTGGCGCTGGCCGGAGACCCTCGCCCTCGGTGACGAGGAGGCGCTGACATTCTGTTACGAGGCGCAGTTTGCCGCAGCCGTGGACGGCGACGGAAGCCCAGAGTTTCGCGGAGCGATCACCAGCAGCTCGCGCGGGCTCAGGTGGTCGATCGGACCTGACAGGCCCCTCTGCTTCCACTGTTTTCTTTTGCCCGACGCTGGGTTGGAAGGCCGACGTCCGGCCGCGGTCCAGACACCTCTGGCCAGCTTATCCGCCGGCGAGTGGTATTCCGTGTGCGTGCAGCTCTCCACGCGCGCGGTCGAGATCAGCGTCGATGGCAAGCTGCACGCGATCGCCCGCGCAGAGACTGGGCAGAGGTTCTTTCTGGACTGGCCAACGCATGCTCACCTGATGCTCGAGGCGCCAGCGCGGCGGCCGTTTGTGGCGCGGAACCTGTTTACGGCACGCGTGCCGCTCAGCGCACGGATGGCGCGTGCGAGCCGCGGCAGCCTGGCGCCGTGGTGATGAGCTGTAACCACTCTGTGAAAAAAAACCCTTGACACCAAACTTTTCTGCACTCCAAGTACTCCAAGTACTTTTGAGGGGCAGAACGCCGGGTTTGTCTTGTATGTGCGTGTGGTGTGTCGGTGTGTCACAGTGTGTCAGTCACATCGAAATATCTTAGCACTTAGGTAGGTAGTCACTTTCTTAGAGATTTTAGAGATTGAGACATGAGAGGAGTGAGACACATGAAAAGAGATTTCCCGGGGGGGCAGAGGATCTCAGTCTCTAGTCCGCCGCCCTTGTGCCTTGCGGAGATCTCCCAAACCTTCGTCGAGACTTCAGCCACGAAATCTCACGAGTTCTTCCCTTCGCTCGCGGTGTGAGTTTCTAGAGGAAGCGCGTTGAGATCTCAAATGGCCAAGATTCCTTTTCACCCTTTATCGCTTTGGGTCGGCCCGGAGGGCGGGGGCGCAGGTAGAGGTAGGGCTGGCCTGGGGGGCCTCAGGTAAAGGTAAACCTGTCTCAGACCGCCGGAGGTAGAGGTGACAGGTCGTGTCGCCATGGGTCGCTTGAGCCGTTGAGCGAGCCACGGGAGGTAGGCGAGGAAGCCTATAGCGACCGCATGAGTCCATAAGATCGCGCTGTCGGGAGAGTTATCACGAAACCAAAACAAGATACGGAACACGAATCTCCAAAACCCCCAAAAGGAATGAAATCCCTTATGGATATAATCGCCTAATAATCTCCGGGCGGAGCCGAGATGGCGGTATTATAATATAGCGGACTATAATGCCCGGGAACAGCCCCTCCTGGCCCGAGTGCGGGCGCGAGGGACAAAGAATAAAGACGGGCAATCAGATGTAGCCGAAGGTGCCGAGGCAAGCGGTGTAAGCTGCGGCGGCTTTGTTCGGGTCGGTCTCGGAGGCAGCAGCTGCAGCAGCAGCGGCGTAGGCGAGTTTGAGCTCGCCGGTCGGTGGAGGGCGTAACGGAGGGGCGACCTGTTTTGTCGGAGGGAGGCGTGACGAATTTGAGGGCCTCATCGCGCTCTTTGACAATGGTCTCGAGAGATGAAACGGTGAGTTCGGCGCGGCGGTGGTTGCCCTTAGCATTGATGCAAAATGCAGTCAAATGGTCAGCACCGCATATAGGTGGCACTCAGTCTTTGGTTTGAAGCACTTGATTTTGGTGTGCCCCTTTTTGCCACATCGAGTGCAAGGGCCTTTGTCGTGGCCACCATCACCCTTGACATCTTTGTCACCGCCGTTGGTTGTGGATGGGACAAAGCTGTTGTAGGCGTTTGGAACAGGGCGACGGTTGGCCGCTAAGAAACACGACGAGCTGATTGACACGGCGCTGTACAAGCTCGTCGGCGGGGCGCGGGTCGGCGCCGCCGGCAAGCGATGGGAGCGGGCGCGCAGGCAGGCGCGCCTGCCCGTCAAGATGGGCGGCATGGGCTTCACCAGCGCCGTGGACATTCGCGAGCCGGCGTGGATTGGCACGTGGGCGCTCGTCGCTGGGCTCATGCGCCAGCTGCATGCTCCTTTCCGCGACCTTGACGTGAGCAAGGCGCCGGGCTCCGATTTCGACGAGCTGCGGGCGGCGCATGACAGGCTCAAGAAGGAGCACGGCGAGATCACGGCGACGTGGAAGGAGTGGGACGACAAGACGAAGGCGGAGTACTTTGACCTGGTTGGCGGTACGACAGGCAGGCCCCCGGACGTCGAGGTGGAGCCGTGGGACGAGCCCGACGAGGGCGAGAAGCTGCGCGCCTCCGCGCGGCCAGGACTCGAACCTGCGCGGGCGGAGCCCAGTGGGTTTCGAATCCAGCATGTTTGGTGGACTTGCTTTAGGTGGGCTAGGCATAGAGCCCAGCCAGCCGTTTTAATCTCTCTCTTTGAGAGAGAGAGAGATTTTTAGCAATACCAAACAACTCTAACACTCACACGTCATTTGGGGCCCCCTAGAGCCCTGTTCACGCGCGCGCGAGACGTGCAGACAGGGTTGCCAGGTGAGAGCGAATGGCGCGGTTCACGCCTCGCACAACACTCAACAGAGAGAGACTAGAGAGAGATGCGCTCTGCATGGTGGGACATAAAAGAAAGCGAGTACTTGGGCGAGTAGGCCGTGCGGTCGACGCTGCCGCGCGCGACTTTGCGCGCGAGGCGGCGCAGCTTGAGAACGGCGGTGGGCGAGAAGCCGCCGCCGAACGTCTCGTGGAGCAGCAGGTTGAAGTTGTCGCGCTTGACAAAGATCGCGTCGTGGTAGAAACCGCGATGCGCCCTGACGTTTTCTCTTTGATGAACTCAAAACAGAAAAACAACGCGCCTGCAGGACTCGAGAGAGATTTTAGAAAACCAACAAGAAATCACGACTCTCATTCTTTCCAGGACTCGAACCTACGCGTAATTTTCACATCAGATTCCTTCAGGTCTCGCCCAATCTCTCTCGCGTAATTTTCACATCAGATTCCTTCAGGTCTCGCCCAATCTCTCTCTCGGGGCAAAAAAACTCGTTGTCGACAGGACTCGAACCTGCGCGGGCGGAGCCCAGTGGGTTTCGAATCCACCTCCTTAACCACTCGGACACAACAACCGAGGCATTTACATTGCCAGATTCGAACTCGCAACCCCGCAATTTGCAGAGTCGCTGCTCTCCGCGGCTACGTCCTCGGCGACAGGCCATATGACCTGCAGGCGAACACAACACTGGACGCGTCATCATTAGGAGGGGGATGCTGTTGCGCCAATGCCTTCGACACACACGTATGTCCGCACGGCGGTGCTCGATGGCAAGCTGTACGCGGCGGGCGGCCGTGAGGCCGACGGCGCAACTTCCAACCTGGTGGAGCGGTACGACCTGGCGTCTTGGGAGGAGGTGGCGCCGATGGTGACACCACACGAGGCTCACGCCGTGCGGTGCTCGATGGCAAGCTTTATGCTGTTGGCGGGTACAACGACGACGACCAATTCCTCAGCTCAGTCGAGCGGTGCGACCCGGCGGTGGGTGCGTGGGAGGCGGTGGCGCCGATGGCGGAGGCGCGGGAGGCTCACGCCGTGGCGGCGCTCGACGGCAAGCTGTACGCTGTGGGAGGCCGCAGCGACGACGAAGGCATTCTCAGCTCGGTCGAGCGGTACGACCCTGCGGTGGGTGCGTGGGAGGCGGTGGCGCCGATGGCGGCGGCGCGGTATGATCACGCCGTGGCGGCGCTCGACGGCAAGCTGTACGCTGTGGGAGGGTACAACGACGACAGCGGCATCTTCAGCTCAGTCGAGCGGTACGACCCTGCGGTGGGTGCGTGGGAGGCGATGGCGCCGATGGCGGAGGCACGGTATGATCACGAGGTGGCGGCGATCGACGGCAAGCTGTACGCTGGGGGCGGCTACAACAACGCCGACCTCAGCTCGGTGGAGCGGTACGACCCGGCGTTGGATGCGTGGGAGGCGGTGGCGCCGATGGCGAAGGCGCGTGAGGCTCACGCTGTGGCGGTGCTCGACGGCAAGCTGTACGCCGTGGGAGGCTACGACGACGGCGGCAATCGCATCAGCTCAGTCGAGCGGTACGACCCGTCAGTGGGCGCGTGGGAGGCGGTGGCTCCGTTGGCGGCGGCGCGGACGAAGGCTTTCGATTGTCTTGATGTAGTCGCCGTTGTAAGCGTGCTAGTAGCCCCACGGCGTGGAGTGTGCTGAAGTCCTCGCCTGAGTGTGCTGCGCGTTCGTGCCCCCGCCGCTTTTTATTTTCAAAAAAGAGAAAACTGACTTCGCGCGAGCAAGGACTCCACGTGCATCGGCCATCCCACCGCCGACGCCGACCTTCGTCCTAGGCTTACCTTCGCAACGCTCCTAGACTCAACGTCGCAACGCATACCCAGCATGCAGTACGAGCCCTTCGCAACCACAACGAAGCACACGCTGCTCGGCGACGATTCCTCCCATGGCAACCTCTACGCCAAGCGCTCGACGTGCCATCGCATCTCGCCTCTGAGCGTCGCCTTGGCCATCGGCAGCGCGATCGCTGCTGGCACGCTCGCTTACGCCGTGCTGCCCATTGTCTCATCCTCCGTGCTGATGGCCAGCCCGACGGTCGGTGAGGAGCAGGACATGCGTGCCAAGCGCGTGCGCCTCCCGCCAGACGATCTGCTCTCTGCAGACTCGACTCCGCAAATGTGCCCACCGCGTGGACCGTGGCCTCAGCCTCCTGGCTGCCCCGGCAGCGACAAGGATTCAGTCTTCCTCTCGCCCGAGGCGGCTATGGCTGCGGCCGCCGCCGCGGCGAAAGCGGCGCAAGAGGGCAAGAGCCCGAAGGAGGTGCAACAGGCGGCCACGGAGGCGGCCGAGGAAGCGGCGGGCAGGAAGAGCCTGCTGCTCTCCGCTGCAGAAGTCAAGCTCGACGCCGCCCGCAGCCAGATTGGTGGCGGAGGATTGCCGCCGCAGCGCTTCGTCGTTGACGGCGTCACCCCATCCTCGCACCAGATGCTTCGGGGTGACTGCTACGTCTTCGCCGGGAGCGGGATCCTTGAGGACAGCTACCGGCGCTACGGCGTCGAACGCGGGTGGTTTGACGGCTCCAAGTACATGCGTCTCAGCCGCCAGGCGCTTGGCATCGCGTACATGGAGGCGTGCAAGCAAGATCCGATCAGCTACTGCCCGAGCGACGAGATCAAGGCCGGAAACACGGTTCAGATTTCGTGGGGCAACACGACCGAGGGCCGCGACGGTGGCGACGAGAAGCTGTTTGCCGTCCTGAGCGACCTCGCGGTGCTGCCCGAGAAGGTGTGCCCGTACCAGTCGGTTCCCAGCTCCGAGACCGACTGGCGGTGCGATGGCCTCGCCGACGCGCGCAAGCGCAACCCGCTGCGGTTCAAGGTCAAGTCGTGGAAGGTAAGCAACGCCGCACCTCAGGAGCTATCGGCAGCGCCCCTCCTCCCCATCCCCACAGCACCCGGCTGCCTGCGCCCCCGCAGACGCACTTTGCCCGGGACGACATCAAGCGCACGCTCGTCGAGGACGGCAGGCCCCTCTCGCTCGGCCTCGGCGAGGTGAAGGCCTTCTACTACGCGCCGTGCGACGCCGGCCGCGGGTGTGACGAGAAGACGGCGGACTGCGCGCCGTGCCCTCTCGAGCGCGTCTACCGGGGCGTCTCTTGCTGCGTCGCCATCGATCGGCCATGCGTCAACATGAGGGGTGAGTCGATCGGCACCGCAGCCTCACGCAGCACCCGCCTGCTACTGACGTGACGCTCTGTGCGTGTGTTTTGTGTAGGGGAGTGGTTCCACCAGCCGCACGAGCCACTCGTGCAGGCCGGCGGGCACGCCATCAACATCGTCGGCTTCAACGACCATTTCCGCACCAACGCCGGCTATGAGGGCGGGTGGATCGTGCGCAACACGTGGGAAGACGGCGTGGGCGTGTCGCACGGGATGCGTGCCCGCGGCTCGCACTCGGCAGCCTACTTCATGCAGGACGTCGGCGAGCTGGAGGAGGCGCAGGCGTGCCCCAACCCCCACTCGCCTCGCTCGTGGATGCCATGCAAGGATGCGGACGAGTGCCTCTCTCCGATGACCGCCATGAGCGCCGAGAGCACGCGCAAGGTGCTACGCCTCGAGTGCGTCGACAACGGCGCCGCCTTGCCGGAGGGCGCCTGTGAGTCCGGCGACAACTACTACCTGCAAAACATCTCCGGGTTTGGCGCGTCCGGCCTCTACACTGCGTGCTTCCTGCGCGTGCCATCGTCGGCCGCCGCCACATCGCGGTGCTACCCGCCGGTGCCGCTGGACGATCTGCCGATGATCTTTGGACCCGCCGATGAAGAGTTGGAGCGAGTGGGCGTCAACGACCCGGAGCTGTGCGGCTTCAACTTTATCCCCTTCAACACGTACGAGGCTCTCCAGTCCCGCTTTGGAGACGTCATCGCCACGTCATACGACATCGAGTGGACCGAAAGTTCATACGCCGCGCGCCGAGCCCCTGGCTACGACTACTCTCTCGTGCAGGCGTCGACGAAGCCCCTCCAGGCGGTGCCCAAGTACGCGCCGTCGCGCTATCGCGCAAACGGGCTGTGAGCTCGCTGAGCGGGCTGGCGCTCACCGCCGGCGAGCCGGTACGTCAGGCTCAGGGGACAGGGCGCCGGAGGGAGCGTCTCGCCCCTCTCCGTGCCGCTCTGCCTCTACGCCATCGGCCTCTCGCGGTGTCTTGTTGATCATGAATGGCTAGCACCCCAAGGCCAAGCCTTTGGCGTTGGGCCCATACGTTCTTCCCGCTTAGTACATTGTACATGTAGCGGCTTGAGTGACGCATGTGAGGCGTCCTCTGACTCCTGTGAGGACCTGAGAGTCCCACCGGCAGGATAGGTACTGTGGGCTGGGTTTTATAGGCATTGTGGGGTTGGCACTCCCATCGACCCTCATGACCTCCTGCGGTCTCTGAGATGGACACCAGTGGGTGTGGGACCTGGCTGGGACCACAGCCAGGATACACTCGAAGGCTGGGTAAGCAGTGTAGAGCGTAGAGGTCGATATACTCGACGCGTACCACATGGTAAATGGTATCATGGTCTGTGTCGCTGTCGGCACGCTGTCGACAGGACGTCGAGCGAGTAGACAAGTGTTACCATTAGCATTGTAGATCCCTGGGCGAGGGTGGTGGAGGGGGACAAAGTCGACGATCATTACACACGGCATGCACGAGACAGGGATTACTGAGAGCCACACAACAACACGCAGAAACGAGAAAGGCGCGGAGAGAGGACAGCGGACAAGAGGAGCAGGTACGAACAGGGCACGGGGTAAGGAGACATGAGTTCACTGTTAGTCCACTGGGACGGTCCTGAGCGCTCCAGCCACCCCGGGGGGCAGGGGTGGGTGAGTCACGGCTCTGTCAGGGGTGTGCCACGGGCAGGGGTCCACGCATAAATAGTCCAGCACTCTCGCAGGAAGATGCAAGCACGCAGCCACTGCACCGACCGTTCACATGCCCGCGGCCTGCTCGCACTCGACGTCGTCGGCCGTCGAGTAGGCCGTCGCGCCGTCAATGTCATCGTCCGACCACGGCGACGAGGCCGCCGAGCCCGCCTGCTCGCGCAGCTCGGAGAGCCTCTGCCGGGTGGCGAGCATCATGCTGTTGACGCCGTGCTCGCCCGACGGCACCGCCGCCTCCCGCTCGTCGTCGTCGTCCTCCTCCTCCTCCTCGGCCGTCGCCTCCTCCTCCCCCTCCTCCTCCTCCTCCGTCGCCGCCTCGGCCGCCTCCATCGGAGCGCCCGACTCGTCGCCGTCGGCTGGCAGCGCCACGCGAGGCCCCAGCTCGAGCGGCTCCGGCGTGGCGGTCGCGCCGGGCGTCGGTCGGAAGGCCGGCGACGCCTCCGAGCTGAGGAAGCCCTCGGTGCTCGGGTTCTCCGCCTCGACGGCGGCCGCGACGCTCTCGGCGACCGGGTTGCTGCACACGCGGCAGAGGCAAGCCTGCTTCTTGACGCCGGGCCCGCCGTACTTGGGCTTGTCCCTGCAATTCTTGCACTCGCCGCAGTCGCCGCGCGTGCACCCGCTGCACTCGCCGCACCGCGCGAGCCGCGCCTTTTTGCCGCCGGCCGCGCCGCGCTCGTCGGCAGACACGCCATTGTTGTCTGCGTCCTGCAGCCGCATGCAGCCCTCGACGGCGCTCCAAAAGGCGTGCCACTCGTGCGGCGGGATGAGACCCGTCTTGGCCTGCACGACCGTCTCGAGCACCTTTGGCATCATGAGCGACGGCGCGGTCGGAGTGGCGGCGGCGGCGGCGGTGGTCGCAGCGGCCGCGAGCGGTCTGCAGGCGGCGGCCGCGCTGGCGCTCGCGACGCTGGCGTTGAGGCACTTGCGCTCCAGGCAGGACTGCTTCCGGATGCCTGCGCGGCGGGGTCGGGCGGCGTCGGGGCGCGAGGCTGCGGCAGGGAGGGCGTGCCAGAGCTCGCAGGGAGGACGCGTTCAGGCGCTCAGGCGGTGGGGTTGAGGGCAGCGAGTGGAGGTGGTGGCGAGGGCGGGGCGGAGGGAGGCAGCGGTGGCGGTGGCGGTGGGGGCGGTGGGAAAGAGGGTAGCGGAGGCGATGGCGGCGGGGGCGGACCAGACGGCGGTGGAGTGGGCGGGGGTGGAGTCGGTGGGGGGGAGGCGATGGCGGACGGGAGGAGGGCAGTGATGCGAGGGAGCGGGGGCGGCGGAGGGGAGGAGGCAGTGGGGGCGGGGGCTGCGGCGGCGGAGGGGAGGAGGGGAGGAGGGGCGGGGGCGGGGGCGGGTGGAGGGGAGGAGGAGAGGAGAGTGAGGGCGGGGCGATGGAGGAGGGCAGTGCAGGTGGTTGTGGTGGTAGGGCAGAGGGCGGAGGTTGTGCGGCGGCGGCGGTGACGCTGTGCATGGCGGCGCGCGCGGGAGAAGGGGCAGCGCGGACCGAGGCCGCCGAACTTAGGCTTGTCGGTGCAGTTGAGGCACCGACCACAGTCCTCGCGGCAGCAGGCTGCGCAGCGTCCGCAGGAGACGGTGCGCTTCCGCTTCTTCTGCGCCGTCTGCCACCACACCGTGCCCGCCGGCCCTGCGGGGTAGATTCCGAGCCCGGCGGCCGCCGCGTCCGCGACGAAGGGGCCCGGCAGCGCGCCGAGCGGGCTGCGGGCGTACATGATGACCGTCTCACGAGACCCGACCGCGATCGTCTAGTCTCGTCCAAGTTCTGTCTTCAGGCGCTGTATCGGGGAGGTGACGAGATACTCCTGCCCGGCAACCTCCAGGTCATGTCAGGATTTTCCGCGATTGTTGTAGAGATCCCTGCCCACAGCGTTCACATTACGAGCCTTGCGATCCCATTACTAAGATGTTAGGGCGGCTAATTCGCAGCGATCTTACCTAAGGATGGATGGATGGCTGAGCTAGCTACAGTGCAGCCACATCCTCCAGTCTAATGGCTGCAATACAACACACACAGCCGTCCTTGGTAGATAGACATGGCTGGAGACGCATTACCGCAGCCATACCGCCCGCCTCGAGGTGAGCCCTCTTGGCTGAGCTGGCTACATCGCAGCCAGCCATCTTGGGAAAGATGGCTGGGGGACAGCCATTCTGCCATTTCAGCCATCTACTATGGGATGGCGTTTTCTGAGCAGAGCCGAGATCCTTCGTCAAGAAGCGACAGGGTCCCCTCAAGCTTTTTTTCTCGTTTTACGAGCCCTGCGATCACCATTTAGTAAGATGTGGCGCCGTGGCTAATTCGCACCTATTCGCAGACGTGCGGCGCCGTCCATCCGGCCAGCCGCCGTCCGGCACACACAAAAACACACAATACGTCTGTATAGCCTATACTGGCCTCTTGGAGAAGCTACGATCGGAACAGATCATGCGAGAGAGAGACGAGCATGGAGACACGAGTTTTGGGGGATACTCTCTTTTTGTGTGCTCTCGGATCTGTTCGCGGTTCTCGTCACAAAAATATGTCAAGGGACAAGAGCTCTGACTGCCGTCAAACGTCTTTCTTTCTGGAGACGAACAAAATAAGCGAAATAACTCAACAGCGTATGGCGACTGGCTCACCGTCTCGGCATCCCCGCAAGGATCGACGCATTGAGAGCGGCCGCCTTCCTCTCGAGCGATGTCCTGACTTGCCAACAATATACCTACAACCAAGAAACCCTTCGGGTCGCTCCTCATCGCAAACCCTGTCATGTCAGCGGAGTCCTCCTCCGGGATGTACGTACCTAGTATGTTCCGATTCATCTGTCTGTCCGAGCGAGACTGCTGACTGACTGAGTATATGGCGCTGACTTTTCTTTTGTTTGTTCTCGGTGTGAGTTGTCGAGTACTCGCACGAAAGCGGCGTTTTTCATATCGTAGAAGTACCTAAAAGAGCTTGGCAGTGTGAATGGCCCACCGAATAAGAAAAACGAAACCCGGCGGATTTCGATCCCTTTCTGGTGTGAGGGGTGCAAGGCTGGCAAGCGAGGCAACTGCAGAGACGACCTCCATTTCGCCGGGCCTGTCAGGAGTGAATTTGGAGATGGCAGAGGCAGGCATTGTCATGGAGACCTCGTACGAGGACAGCAAGCGGTACCGGAAGAGTGGCACCCGGATCTCGGGTCGGTCGCTAGACGAGTGCGAGGACGTCGGCACCATCGCTGAAGAGAGGAAGATGCCCTGGTGGGGCACGACACTGATAATCATGGGGGATGTCATGGGTACTGGTGTCTTGGCCATGCCTGCAGCCGCCGCCAAGCTTGGGTGGGTCGTGTCAATGATCACCCTGCCGTTCTTTGCTTTCTGCTCAACATACTCGGGAAGTGAGCATGCCTGGCAACGTCGTGCGCCCCGCCACCGCTGCCACCACTAAACGTGTCCCGTCCCAACCCGCACTGCAGACCTGCTCGCCCGGACAAAGAACGAGTTTCTGCCGGCAGCGGGTGGCTACGCTGACATGTCCAATGCACTCGTCGGACCTCGCTTCGGCACGTTCACTCGCTGCGTTATCGTCACAAATTGTGAGCTGCACCCCCTCCCTTGCGCCCCCACTCTCTCACCCTCCCTCTCCTGCCCTAGGGGCGCTCCTCCTCCCTTACTTCATGGTCGGAACGGGCGAGTCTCTCAAGGGCCTCGCGCCCGATGCGCCCATCTGCGGCTATTCATGGACGGCCATCGCCGGCCTCGTGCTCGTCGTCCCCATCCAGGCGACCACCATGCGTCTCCTCTCCTACCTGTCAGCCCCCTCCTGTGCGCCGACGGCCCGCCCGCTTCCTGCCCCCCTAACCGTTTCACGACCATACCCTCCATGCACATCCCTACGCAGCTCTGGCCGTCATCATCACGATCATCATGGTGGTTGCCGAGCTCTTCACCAACGAGGGAGACGAACCGTTTGGATCGGCCGGGACGGTCGGCCCGCCACCAGGCACCACTTTCTTCCAAGCCTATGGTGGGCTCACGACGATTGTCTTCGCGTACCTCGGACAGGTGTGCCAACAGCACCCCCTCCCCCCCCGAGCCACATTTGTGCTCTAGCGTCTAGATGAGGGTGAGAGTGAAAGCACTACACAGCTAAGCAAACTATCCCTTCTCGGCTAGGACGTCTTCTGCGAGATCATGCAAGAAATGGCGGAGCCAAAGGACGCCAACAAGTCCATCAACTTGGCTTACTCAGTCATGACCCTCGTGTACGCCTTCACCACCATCGTCGCGTACGGCCTCGAGGGTCGTAGCGTCGAGGGATTCCTCCTCGACTCCCTCCCCGACTCCCCGGTCAAACGTGTCGCCTCCGGTCTCCTTGCTTTCCACGTTATCGTGGCGTACGCCATCGTCTCCGTGCCCCTCACCAACTTCTTCTACGGCCTGTGCTTCCCAAACACGCCCATCCACGACGGCGGCGTGCCCGCACGCCTGCGCTGGGCCCTCATCTCGATTGGCTATCTGGTCTTCTCCTATCTGATCGCCACGCTCATTCCGGTCTGTCGCGCGCCCCTCACACACACACACACACACACACACACACACACACACACACACATACACACACACACACACACACACACACACACACACACACACACACACACACACACACACACACACACACACACACACACACACACACACACACACACACACACACACACTGCCCATGCATTGGGATCTCGCTTCTTCTCTACTCGAAGATCAACCCTCGCATGGATTAAACATTTGCATTCACAACATCCGTCGCCCACAGGCCTTCAGCGCAATCCAGGGCCTCATCGGCTCTCTGTGCGGTTCGCCCATTCTCTTCGGCTTCCCCGCTGCCTTCTACATCCTCGCTTGCCGCCTCAACAAGAAGAAGATCAGCACCTTCGACAAGGTCACATGTGCGCTCTTCCTCTGCGTGCTGTGCCCCCTCTTCTTCCTCTGCGGCACGATCGACTCGATCATGCAGATCGGCGATGCGGTCAAGGACGCCGGCACACCCTTTTCCATCTGTTGAGCATCCGCAGGGGGCGGAGCGGGCCCGATTTAATTAAACGGAGGGACTCCGGGGATGCAGGAGCGCGCGAATCCGGCAGCGCAAGCTGCGACTCGTCGGGTAAGCCTGTGACAGGCCTGTGACAGTATCCCTTGCTCGTCTTTTTCTTTCATTACGGCTTTATTTGGGGCGTAGCTTTTGCCTTTTCTTTTCAGTTTTCTCGCCCCTAGCCGTTTTTTTTTCTCGGCGCCCCCCACCGCTCCTCGCCGTGCCAGTTACGCCGGAAATTCTATCTTTTTCAAAAACGGGGTTTCTCGCGATGCCCGCGCGCGCGCGCGCGCGCGCGCGGCCTCGCCGCGCCCGGCTCGCGCGCCTCGCGGCCGCCGCCGCCGCCGCGCCCGCTCGCCACGTCGCCAGACACGCTCCGCCGCCCGCCCTCCCTCCCCGACCTCCCCACGAGCAGTTTTTTTTCTCCGCTTGACCGGGCCCCCTCTTTAACGCATTTTTCGCGTGACGACAGACGAGGCATGCGGTTAGGGCTTAGGCGACTGCGGAGTGGGGCAGTGTCCCAGTCGCGGCGAGAATGGAGTGCGGACGGCGTGCTAAGTCGTGTGTGCTCCCTTTTGCTTGCTAAGACTGCAACATTTTTTTTCATCGCATTTTTCGGTGCGCGCGTGTAGTGGCTCGCACACAGTAAAGTGTAGTAAGTGGGAGAAATATTGGAGGAGCGAGGAGGCTCCCGGGCACCGGCATCGTCCCGTTGACAGTGTTGGTTGGTAGGAGGAAGGAGCAAGTCCCGGTGGGTGCTGGAGAATGGAGTGGCCAGAGATGCGATCCTCATGTGCTCATCCCCCGGCCGCCGCGGCCGCGCGCGCCACGGCCGCGCCCGCCGCGCCCGCCGCGCCCGCCGCGCCCACGCGCGCTGCGGTCGCCCCCCCGCGCGCGGTCGCCCCACTCCCCGCTCGCAGGCGTCGCCCCTCCGACCCCCTTCCCCGTCGGGAAGGCGGACCGCTTGGTCGGGTTGACGCGCAGCACGCTCGCCGACGTCGCGGCGGCGGCGGCGGCGGCGGCGGTCGCCTCGATCATGTCCTCCCCCGCGGCGTGGGCGGCGCGGATGGCCCGCACGAGCTCGGTGTCGTGCCTATAGGAGGGGGTGGGCCCGCAATCGAGAAGGGGGGGGGGGGCGCCGTGCAGACGCGGCGGGGACGCGAGATCGGCGAGCGGCTACTTGGTGACGAGCGAGTGAGACGCGCCGCGGCTGCCGGCGCGTGCGGTGCGGCCGCAGCGGTGGAGGTAGTCGGCGGCGCTCTTCGGGAAGTCAAACTGGACGACATGCTCGACCTGGTGCTCACCGGTGGGACGCGCGCTCAGGCACTGCTCACGCCGCACGGCTTAGGCGGCGGGCTCGACCTGCAAGTTGTCGAGCCCGCGCGCCGCCAGGTCGGTTGTCACGAGGACAGACGCGCCTACAGCATGCCCCTCGAGGGTCTGGGGGTGGGAGCACGGCGCCGGGCGTCGCATCCCTGCGCCGTTCGGGAGCACGAGAGCCACGGCTGGTGTGGACAGAGTCGCGGCGGACACGGCTTGGAGACGGTGGGTCGCAGCGGGGTGGGTGCGTGTCTTGGAGTGCGCTGGCGGAGCACAAGAGGCGGCGCGTGTCTTCCGGGTCTAGGGCGAGACATGGTGAGAGAGGTTGGGGAGACGTTCCGCATGACGTTCCGCATCTAGGGGCGAGGCGCCGCCCGCGACGAAGCGCTCGAAGTTGTCCGCGCGCGCCTTGGCGGGGATCGCCCCGTGGTAGTTTGCCGTCGCGTAGCCCTCCTCCTCGAGGTGACGGTCGACGAACCTGACGAATCACCCAGTCCGACCGGTCTCCCCCCCTCGCGCGCAGCCACTCCTCCGCCTCGAGGCGGCGCGCTCGACGGACCTCGCGGAGTCCTGCGAGTTGCAAAAGAGGACGACCCGCCCCAGGGTCGGCCGTCCCTCCTCCGGCGGACCGAGCGGAGGACCGAGCAGCTCGCGCAGCGCCGCGACCTTGCCGTCGGGGCCCTTGCACGTCACGAACCTGGAGAGGGAGGAGGCGCGGCTGCGCGAGTGTCTTTCTTGGGCGAGCCCCCCCTGCGCGTCACGAGCCTGAGAGGGAGGGGAGGCGAGGGCAGCACTCGCGAGGGATCGGCCGCGACTGTGCCGTCAGGCCCCTCCCGCGCCGCGCACCTCTGCTCCAGCTGCGCGGGGACGGTGTGCACGCCGCCAACCATCATCTGCTTGGCGCCGCTCAGCCGCCGCTCGTAGAGAGCGACCGCCGCCGCCGGGTGTGTCGCCCCAACGGCCACGTGCTGCACGCGCGCCGCCGCGCGGCCGGCGGCGGCGGCGGCGGCGGCGCGCGGGTCCGCGGCGAGGTTGCGCGTGGTGATGGCGAGGAGCTTGTCGAGCTCGTCGCCGAAGCCCGCCTGGAGAGGGGAGTGGACCAGTGACGGCCGCGGGCTGGGCGGGCTGGGCGGGCTCTGTGTCCGGCGCCTGCCCCAGACATCGTCGTGGGCAACCTCGGGCGATCTCGGACGATCTCGGGCGATCTCGGGTCCATCTGACCATCTCGGTCGATCTCGGCCCATCTCGGTCGATCTCGAGCGCCTCAAACATGGTGTCCACCTCGTCGACGATGACGTGGCGCACGTCACCCAGGAAGAGCGACCCCTTGTCCACAAGCTGCAGCAGCCGCCCTGGCGTCGCGACGAGGACATCCACAGGCAGAGAGAGCATCCGCGCCTTGGGGGTGGGGGGAGGGGCGCTAGCAGGTGAGAGGTGCACACGAGGGGCCTCGTCCCGCCGGAGTGGGCGAGAGGCTGGATGCGCGAGAGGCTGGTGCGGGGAGAGGGTGGCGCGGGGAGAGGGTGGCGCGGGGAGAGGGTGGCGCGGGGAGAGGGTGGCACGACGGGCGCGGCGCTGAGCCGCAAGTCTCGGAGGCGGGGATGGGGCGCGGGCGGCGCAGAGGCGCAGAGGGCAAGGGTGGGGCGGGCGGCACAGAGGCGGGCGGCACAGAAGGCGGCACAGAAGGCGGCACAGAGGGCGGGCGGCACAGACGGTTTGCGGCGCCTGCGGAGCGACGGGCGTGCCGCCGGAGACCGCCTTGACGGAGAGGCGGAGCGACTGCCCAAGCGTGCGGCCGACCTCGTGCACCTGCACCGCCAGCTCGCGCGTCGGCACCAGCACGAGCGCGCGCGGCCGCTTGGGCTTGGCGCGCGCGCCCGCCGCCTCCTCGTCCGCCTTGAGCGTCTGCATGATGGGCACCAAGTAGGTGAGGGTCTTGCCCGAGCCCGTCTGGGCGCCGACGATCAGGTCGCCACGCCCGGCCAGCGCCGGCATCGCGCGGGCCTGCAGCTCGTTGGGCGCCACCACGCCGAGGCGGTCCAGCGCATCGATGGTCTCGGCGCGCAGGCCAAGCTCAGCAAAGCTGGCCGCACTGCAGCGCACGGATGCCCGTGGAGACGGTGGCGCCACGCGGAGGGGGCGGGCGAAGCTCGCCGACAGCAGCAGAATACTATGGGGCAGGCAGGCGGCCGCAGGCGAGCGCATGTACAAACCCGTTCCTGCCTGGGCGATCAGCGCGAGGCTCGATCTGACGAAAGAATTTTACACCAAGTCCCGCGTATGGTACTGCGTGGGTTGTGTGTTTTCTTTCTTTCTTTCTTTACTGCGTGGGTTGGGTTGGGGCGCTGTGCGTGCTCTTTAGTTTATGCGCGTGGTGACGGCGCGTGGCGTGACGATGCGTGTGGTCGCCGTGCTCGTGGAGGCGGCGTTCAAGGTGTCCAAAAATCTTTTTCCAAGCGCTTGCGCTTCGGCGGTTAGTGGTGCACTAACCTCCGAGAAACCCTTCGGCTCGCTCCTCATCGCAAACCCTGTCAGCAGAGTCCTCCTACCTGCAAACAAACAAAACATCTCTCTCTCTCTCTCTCCTACCTGCTACGCTGCTACCTTACGGGAATGTAGACAAAACAAAACACTGGAATGTACGTATAAAGAGCCACATACAACCTTAGGGGCCTAGAGAACACAACCCCCTCTCCCTTTCTCCCAGTAAGCTAAAAGTACGTGCAACGAAAAAGTCAGCAGAGTCCTCCTACGGGAATGTACGTATAAGGAGCCACGTAATAAAATGAGATGGCCGTTTCACTTGGCGGCATTGCGTAGCATAGATGGCCGAGGTGGCAGAGGCGCCAGGAGAGGACGCGGCGGAGTTCTTCGGAGAAGGGCTCCATCCGTCGGAAGGGCCCGGGGCGGTGCCGGCCTCGGCATCGGAGGCAGCACCTGCGGCGAAATCTTCAGCGACAGAGGCCGCCGCGGCGGCGGAGGCTACAGAGGCTGAGGCAGAGGCTGCAGAGGCGGTAGCTGCAGGGTCTGCAAATGCAGAGGCGGAGCCGGCAATCGAGCCCCAACCCCCGGCCGAGGCCGAAGCTGCGCCAGTGCCACCAACGGCGACGCCAGCCCTGAGAGAGAACAACAACGCAGCCGCCAAGGCCACACCGAGCAAGCGCCTGCCGAGGGCTGGGCGGGTGCTCCTCGGTGGGGCGAGCAGCGAGCCGGTGCAAACCCCCGCCCAGCCAGAGTCGCCGTACGGCCAGTACCTCGCGGCGCACGCGCTGTACCTTGAGCGCGAGGGACGAGAGCGAGAGCGCCGCCGCGAGGAGAGGGCAAAGGCAAAGGCGGAGGCAGAGGCGGCCGCCGCAAAGGCAGCAGCGGAGGCAGATGCAGCCAGGGAGGAGGCCAAGCTGAAGGCGGCGGCGGCAAAGGAGGAGGCGGCGGCGGCCGCCGCCGCCGCCGCAGCAGCAGCAAAGAAGAAGGCCGCAGCCGAGGCGGCTGCTGCTGAGTCCAGCGCGGAGCCCGCAGAGCCTACGGCAGCGCCAACCGAGGCGGCGCCCGAGTCAGCGGGGGAGTCGGCGGTAGAGCAGCCGGTAGAGTCGGCGGTGGACCCTGAGCCGGAAGGAGCAGTGAAATGTCCAGCCGAACCCGCGCCAGAGCCCACGTCATCCTCGCCAGAACCGCAGCCAGAGGCACAGGCAGAGGGAGAGGCAGAACCCGAGCAGCAGCAGGAGCCCGCAGCGGGAGGGGAGAGGGAAGAGGGACATGAGGGAGAGTGAGGGGTCTAAAATGGACCTTAAATGCGGTATGCCGACAGACACATGCACTGCTTGCTTGTGTGAGAGAGCTTGTGAGAGTTTTTATGTTTTGTTGCTTGTGTGTGCGAACAATGGTGACCACAAGCGCGAAGAAGTCACGACTCTCACAGTCACCCGAGAGCAGCTGAACCTGCCTCTGGCCTCGCCTCCCTCTCTCCTTCAGGCATTCGTGGCATCCTATGGGTCGTCCAGAGTATCGACCTCTGGCTTGTCAGCCGCCCCACCGAGGGCGCCATGAAGTACAGCGATCGCCACCTCGCTGGCCTCTCCGCAAGGCCTCCCGACCGCGTCGAACTCACGGCGCGGGCTCTCTCGGCTACGGGACCGGCCCCAGCTTCGGCTGAGGGCTAACAAGCTGCCGAGCCCAAATCACTGTGAGAGTCGTGATTTCTGGCTGAGCCCTGGCCTCGACACCTCGACACCAAACCTCGACACCGACTCGACACCTCGACAACCCATGCCAACTCGACAAACTCGACACCCCTCGACACCCCTCGACACCATCTAGGCTGAAACCATGCTCGTCCGTGTCAAGGTGCCAAACTCGACACCTCGACACCCCTCGACACCCCTCGACACCCCTCGACACCCCTCGACACCGCTCGACACCTCTGATGATCCTAACACAGCAGAGACGTAGACCCATTGGAGTCACAGAGTTAGAAATCAGGGTTGCAGCAGCAATCAAACTTGGCTGGCAGTACTTTCATCCCTGAGTTGCAGCCTCTCAAGTTCTAGCTCAAGTTGCAGCTCAGTTGCACCCCTGTTGATGCAGCAAACATGGCAGTACTCAGGTAGCCCTAAGGTGCTGCACAGCACCTTGTACAGTGGCAATGAATCCTCACACCAGTGAGCTTGTGCCATGAGTGCAGACCTGTGGTCCATTGCGCTTTGTGCACTGGCGACGCTGCAACGGCGACGCTGCAGCGGCGGCGACGCTGCTGCGATGGGGTACTGTAGCCCTTAGCTGCTGGACAGCACCTTGTGCAGTGGCAATGTCCACTGACTCATGGCACCAGCCTTGTGCCATGAGCGCTGTGGTCAGTTGCGCTTTGTGCGCCGGTGACGCTGCAGCAGCGACGCTGCTGCAGCAGCGACGCTGCTGCGGTGCACTGGTGCTGCACCTGCACAGCACCTTGGTGCACAGTGGCAATGACTCCCGGCACTTGATGTCCTCAAATGTCCACAGAGAGTATACTGGTTGTGCTCAGGTTGTGCTACATCAACAGGGTGCAACTGAGGCTGCAACTAAGGGATGAAACAGCTTTGCAACTGCTGCCCAACTTTTGTTGTATGTTGATGGGCTGCAACTGCATCCACCTGCCACCTTGGACACCTCGATACCTCAGACGCCTCTTGACAACACTCGACACCCGCTCGACACCCGCTCGACACCCTCGACACCCTCGACACCCTCGACACCCTCGACACCCCTCGACACCCCTCGACACTCCTCGACACGGACAAGCATGGTTTCAGCCTCGACAGGCCTCGACAGGCCTCGACAGGCCTCGACAGGCCTCGACACCTCTATCCCTCGACAGCAGCTCGACACCCTCGACACCGGGCCTCGACACCTCGACACCAGGGCTCAGATTTCTGGTTGGTTTTCTAAAATCTCTCTCTCAAGCGCGCATCTAAACCAAAAGCAAAATATTGCACTTGTCTTTTATAGCCTTCGATGTTATGAAACAAACAACGCAAGGCGGACATACACAGCACATCGCTCTCGGGCCCACAGACATCCCGCACACCCGCCGCCCCCGCCCGGGAGAAAGGGGAGTGACAGTTTTGGGGACGCGACAGCACTATCAAACTATTAGCCTAATAACGTACCTAATTATCAACATATACCTAATAATTATCTTGTTATGAGCTGCTTCGCGTTATTAGCTCGATGACAGCTAATAATAAGCGGCTAATAAGCGGCTAATAAGCGGCTAATAGTACCTAATAACCACCTAATAAGCGGCGCCTTGGCTAATAATTAGCTTAATAACAGCGTTATTAGGTATATGTTGATCATTTAGGTACGTTATTAGGCTAATAGTTTGATAGTGAGACGACATCGATCTCGGCACTCCAATGTGCGAGAACGCAGAGAAAGGACTGGGCTCTGGGGGTGGTCCGGCCCACATTCCGGCTCATGCGACCGAGCTGACCATCTAGATTCTAGTACCGCACTGAACACTTTCGCCCCCTCGCCCCAAACCCATCCACTTCGCCGAGCCCGAGATACACGCACACACATAACCTGCTCTCAAAAAAAGGAAGGGCCTGGTTGGAGATGGTGCACGCCCTGCGAGCGGGGCGGGGTCTGCCCGTCGGGTTGTCGCCCAATCTTCCCATGAGATGTCTGCTCTGTTTATTTATTGGTTGGAGATGTCATGCTTACCTCGCCTCCACCTCCACCGCGGCCTCTACGACGCCGTCTTCCTCCTGCTCCTCCTCGCCCTCAGCGACCACCACCACCTCAGCATCCACCTCCATCGCCTCCGCTCCCGACTCCACCTGCGCCCCCTCCTCATCACTCACCTCGAACGCCTCCACCTCGACCGCCTCCGCCTCCTCCATCTCCTCCGCCTCCATCTCGTCCATCTCCGCCTCCGCCTCCGCATGCAGCTCGGCCCACCGCTCGCGGCACTCGGCGCCGGTGCGTCCAGGCAAATGCGACGCCACGATGCCCCATTGGCAGGACGCGACGCGCGCTCGCAACCCGGCCAACTTCTTTGCTAGACTCGGCACCAGCAGCCGCAAGCGCGCGTCGCCCCCTCGCTCGCCACCCCAAGGGAGCGGTGCCGCTGTCTCGTCCGCCACTGAGCAAGCAACGACGGCCGACGCCGCATCGACGTCCTCGCCGCCCTGCGATGCGCGCGCCGCGCTCTGCAGCCGCGCCAAACCGTCAACCACAGCCTGTCCACAGCCGCACGCGGTGAAGGGGCGCACAAAGCAGCGTGTGCCGGCAACCGGCGACTACTGCCTCGCACGTGGCCGGAGGCGGCGGAGGGTGGCGCCGAACGGCACGCCACGCGCCGTCTTCGCGCGGCTCACCCATCCCCGTCTCCGCGCCCCAATACGCGGTGCTGCCGCTGCCTGCGCGAGAGCTTCCTCCCTCGTAGTCGATCCTGATCTCGCCTCCGGCGGATATGGGCTCGGACGCGACGAGGACCATGTGCTGGCGCACCTCGCACCTATAGAATTGCGACTCGCTGTGGCGCGTCCCGTCCGGCGCGACGACACGTGCTGGCGCAGCTCGCACGGTGCGGGGCGCAACACGGGCCACAGCTCGAGCCGCGCGTTGGGCGAGCGGCTGTGGTTGGCGTACGACGCGCAACAGCGGGGCACGCTGAACGGGCAATTCTCGCTTGCGCCGTCGACGACGACATGGGTGCCTACGCCGTGCCTCCTCACGTAAAGCGACACGCCGCGAAGCGCAGGCAGTGGCGGCGTCGGCGCCCGGGATCTGAAGCGCGCACGTGCCGCGCCGCTGCAAGCTGCACGGCAGCCGCGGCCCGGAGTACAAGCCGAGCGCCTGCCCCCGCCGGAGAGGCGCCCGCGCCCAGAGCCCGAGCCCGAAATCGCTTGGTGCGACGAAGGACCACGCGTTGAGCGGGCCGTGCGCGGCAGCCGTGAGCAGCGCCGCGGTGTCACGCGCCATCTGCCGTTCGATCGCCTCGGGCGGCACCAGCGCTGGAGGCGCGGGCGGCGGAGGAGACCATTCGAAGTCGCACCCGCCATCGGCGCGCGCGCACCACCACCTCCTGCCCATCCACACCGCCGGCCTGCCACACTCGCACAGCGGCTGCATGCCCGCGGTGCCGTCGTCGGTGCGACCGCACGCCCACAGCTCGAAGCTGCAGCCGCCGTCCTCGTCGGCACACCACCAGCGCCGCTTGCGCAGCACGGCCAGCGCACCGCAAAGGCAAGTGGGGGGTGGCACACCGCCGCCCGGCGCCCCCTCCGCCGAGGCAAGCTGCACAAACCGCGGCAACTCCGCCGCGGTCAAAGCGCCCTGCAAACTCGGCGCCCGCCCGGCCGCCGCGTGGGGCCGCCCGAGGGAAGGCGCGGAGAGGTAGGCCGGCAGCCGGGAGGAAGAAAAAGAAACGCCGCCGCGAGGGCCTGCTGCCGACTCGGAGGCGCCGCCGCTGGACGAGGACGCGGCGCCGGCATTGAAGGCGCGGATCAGGCTCTCGTCGAAGATGTTGTCCTCGCACTCCCAGCTGTCGTGCTCGGGCGGGTAGTCCTCCCAGCGCACCAAGTACTGGGCCTCTCCACCGACGTGCCGCCGCGCGAGCAGCGCCTCGACTCGAAACACGTCGCCGCCCAGCCCTGCGAGCGGCCCGGGCTGGCGGGCGGAGGCGGAGGCGGAGGCGGAGGCGGAGGCGGAGGCGGCGGCGGAGGCGGAGGCGGAGGTGGGCGGCGCCCGAGCTCCGCCTTGGTCGAGTCCGAAGTGTCGAGCCACCTCGATGCGCGAGCGGAAGCGCTTCCCGGCGGGCGAGAAGAAGTAGGTGTCGCAAGACCGCCGGCGAGAAGAAGTAGCTTGTCGCACCTCTGTCCGCGTGTACCAGCCGTCGACGAGGCCCTCCCGGCCGCCGCAAGAGACCTGCAGAGGGGATGGGGGGGGGGGTGCATTCCAGCCGACTGATGAAGAGGAACGCGCCAGGGGGGGGACTAGGCGAGGGGGGTGGGGAGGAGGCGAGGGAACCACCAAATACTCGGAGAGGCCGCCAACAGAGCGGCAGGCCAAGCCGTCCGAGAGCCGCGGCCTCTTCACCGCTGCAGCGGCCGGTGCGCCCGCCAATCCAACGCCCGGCCGCTTGCCTAGCTGCGGCGGCGGGGCTGCCTGCGGCGGGGGGGGCGCGAGCGGCCGCTTGCGCGAGCGGCCGCTTGCGCGAGCGGGGGGGGCGCAAGCCGCCGCCGCCGCCTCTTCGACCGCCCGCGCGTACGCCACCGCCGCCTCCACCGCTGTGTCGAAGCAGCCGATGTAGACCTGCCTTTCGTCCACCCTGTGCTTCGCCTGGAAGCGGCCAAAGTGCTCGTGCACGCCTAAGTAGCCGGTACTGCTGATGCTGGAGAGATGCAAGCGCAGCCCGTCCACCTCTGGCGCCCCCGTCGGGGGAGGTTGAGCCGGTTGAGCCGGAGGCTGGTACTCGCCGACCGTCCGCGCATACGCCACCGCCGCCTCCACCGCCGTGTCGAAGATGCCGATGGTGGGCTTCCGATCTCTCCAGCGGCCCACCGATCGGTGCGCCAGGAAACGGCCAGAGGGGAGCTTGGTCACGCCCTTGTAGCCGGTGCCGGCGGCGCTGGACAAGTGCAAGCGCAAGCCCTCCGCCTCTGCCACCGGAGCCTCCTCCGCCTGCGGCGCATGTGACGAGGCAGCGACGGAGGCTGCGCCGGCGCCGCCGCTCGCGCCGCCCGCGGCCGCGGCCGCGCCGCCGCCGACGCCCGCGGAGGAGGAGGACGTGCGCTGGATGAGCGGCAGGAGGTCCACCGCCCCTGCTTGAACCTTTGCCGAGGGCGCCGGGCCGGCCTCAAAGCGCACGGCCGGGCGCGCGCCGCGGTCGGAGGAGCGACTTTGCTGCTCAGCTCCCGCCGGCTCGGCTCCCGCCGGCTCAGCGCCCGCCGCCACCGCCCCTGCTGTCGCCGCCGCCGCCGCTGTCGCCGCCGCCGCCGCCTCTTCGACCGCCCGCGCGTACGCCACCGCCGCCTCCACCGCCGTGCCGAAGCTCCCGAGGCTTGGTTTGCCCGACAGTCGCGCATGGTACGGCAAGCGGTTAGAGGGATTCTTGGCCACGCCCTTGTAGCCGGTGGCGGCGGCGCTGGACAAGTGCAAGCGCACGCCCTCCGCCTCTGCCACCGGAGCCTCCTCCTCCGCCCGCGGCGCATGCGACGAGGCAGCGATGGAGGCTGAGCGATGCCGCACCGTCTCGGAAGCTGTCGTGGGTGCATTTGCGCCGGCAGGGAAGAGCCGCTCCCCCTCGGCCGCCGGAGGCCCGCTGCTCGCCTCACGACGCCATTGTACGAGCTCGCACGGATCGGGCGCCGGGCCGGCCTCAAAGCGCACGACCGACTTTGCGGCGACGGCCTTCGAGGGCGGGCCCTGCGCGCGCTTCTTGCCCGTCATGATCTGCCAACGCTGCTCCACGCCCGCCTTGCTCCGCCCGGTACCCATTCGCTCCGCCACCGTCGCCCACGACTTTTCTCCGAGCTCGCTCACAAGCTCCTTGAGCGACGACTCTTCGGCAGAAGACCATCTGCCCCACTCGCAGATGGCCGGGCCGGCCTCGAAGCGCACGACCGGGCGCGCGCTGCGATTTGAGGAGCGAGTTTGCTGCTCAGCTCCCGTCGGCTCGGCTCCCGCCGGCTCAGCGCCCGCCGCCACCGCCCCTGCTGTCGCCGCCGCCGCCGCTGTCGCCGCCGCCGCCGCCTCTTCGACCGCCCGCGCGTACGCCACCGCCGCCTCCACCGCCGTGCCGAAGAAGCCGAGGTGGACGTGCCTTCCGTCCACCCTGTGCTGCGCCTTGAAGCGCGAGCCGTCCTTGCACACGCCCTTGTAACCGGTGGCGGCGGCGCTGGACAAGTGCAAGCGCAAGCCCTCCGCCTCTGCCACAGGAGCCTCCAACATTAAGGCCGTTCACTTGTAGTGAGCGTCGGGCTGGTGGTTCGACACCGAGTTTGAAAGATCTGTTTCTCCCTTTTCTCTCTTCACAGGAAAATCCTGTACCGGACGTGTAGGTAGGTAGGTAGAAAGGTGAAGAACAGCCAGGCTCGGACTGGACACCAACGCGGTATGGGTGGACGCTGGACAGATGATGACGACACGCACGAGCGACACACAGACACAAACAAGCTCACAAGACACACAGCCAGCGGGCTGCCACACACCCTGAGTCGACTTACACATAACTCAAGGCCATATCCTCCCTGTCGCCCCCCCCAGCACTCCACGGTGCCAAGAGTACAAACAAGGGCACAACGACACAACAGACGACAGGAAGTGACATGCGAGGCTAGAGCAGACGCGCCCCATCAGGGTTTGAAGTCTTCTAAGTAGGTAGGTGGTTGGGTCTGTCGTCTGTGTCGTGCGGAAGTTGCGTGAAATCCGGCACGGTTTCACGCCTGCTCTGCTGAGGGGAGGGGTCGGGCTCATAGCGGCGAGTCGAGCTCCTGCCTCTGGCATATTCCCCATGTGCAGCGAGATGTAACGAACGGACGTCGGCGCAACTTCTCGTGGCAGGTGCGTCGCGTTCGTCCCAGCTCTCTGCTCTGGGTTCTGATTTCAGTCGCCAGTCGCCATGGTCGATTTCAACAACCTTCTGAGCAGGTTCGTGCTTGCGGCTCCTCGAGCGCTCAACGATGAGGTCGCGCAAGGTCAGACCGACGCTGGCGCGACCTTCATCATCGAGAATCCGCCAGACAGAGGCGACGGGCCGCTGTATCAGGCGAAGTTCGCGTCGCACGCGCCGCTGTGGCTCGTCCCCGAGGTGGTCGAGCTCGTCCAGCGGACCGGCGCTCGCATGATCACGTTCCCACAGTGCGCACTGGGCTCGAGGTACCAGAAATGGACGTCGCTCCTCGTTTCGCCCGAGCTCGAGCCGTTCCTCAGGGACCTTGGCTCGCTGGCGTGCCAGCACCCGCACGGCCATCCCGCCGTCGCCGTGGGCACGGACTCAGCACGCGCCGCCGCCTACCCGCCCGAGATGAACCGGAGGCTAGCCGAGGCATTTGACCGATGGCTTGCCGGTGAGGTGAAGCCGGGTAGGAAGCGCGCCGTCGAGGGCGTGCGTGGCGAGCGACTATCTCAGAGCAAGCGACAGAGGCTGAAGCGGCGGGCCGCCTCTGGGGGTGACGCAGGCGAGGGGCGAGGTCCTGCCGGGAGCGGAACCCGCCCCGAGTCGGCCGATCCGTCGGATGGTGGTCCCGTACACGTTGATACCGAACTGCTGCCAGAGGCGCCGGTCACGCCGGGCCTTGCGGTCGGCTCCGCCGTTCCGCACGCCGGCCCGATCGGCTCGATCGAGGTTGGGCGTCGCGGGCGGCGAGACGATGCTGTCGACATCACCCGCGCCGGCCCGCTCGGCAACCCCTTTCCAATGGGGAGGCTGATTAGCCGTGGCGCCGCTGCAGAGTGGGCGCGACGCGCCGTGTGCGCCGCGCACAGGACCTACCTCTACCCCTACTCTACGCGTGCGAGCCGCGTGTGAGTACGGAGGGGCCCATTGCAGAGGTTGCGTGAAATCCGGCACGGTTTCACGCCTGCTCTGCTGAGGGGAGGGGCCGGGCTCATAGCGGCGAGTCGAGCTCCTGCCTCTGGCCCCCGTATGTGATATTCCCCATGTGCAGCGAGATGTAACGAACGGACGTCGGCGCAACTTCTCGTTGGCAGGTGCGTCGCGTTCGTCCCAGCTCTCTGCTCTGGGTTCTGATTTCAGTCGCCCCACCCTCCGCTCCCTTGCGACTCTGTGATTTGTTCGGTTGTTCCACCCTCAGAGGTGTGTCTTGCAGGCTGTTCTCCCGTCGTCATCCCTCCGCCTTTCATGTGCATGTTTGCTGCCTGCGTTGTGTCGTGTGTGCCTGTTTGTCCCGGGAGGGGGCTAGGAGGCATCGCCTTCCTCCCCCACGCCACGCATGTCAGGCTCGGCCGCCGCGAGGTCTCGCGGCGGCTTGGCTGAGGGTCTCTCTTCGGTTCGCGTATGCCGCAAGAAGGACGCATTACTCAATCTACCTCTCTCACCCTCTACCCCTACTCTACGCGTGCGAGCCGCGTGTGAGTACGGAGGGGCCCATTGCAGAGGAGAGCTCTTCACGGCCCGAGAGGGGTGCAGACGGATACGAGAGGGGTGCAACGGACGAAGGCCGGGCTCGCAGGTTGTCAGCAGCTGGCTCATTGTTACGTGGACCCGTCAACAAATGCCGTTGCCACTCATCACCGCAATCGCCCTCACCGCGTCCGGCGAAGCAGCCGTCCCCGAGGATGAGTACGCGGCGCTGCCGGGTGTGGGATGATGGAGAGGGGGGAACGGCACTACTTCTGCAGCGTGCACCTCGATCCTGTACCGTGTTTGTTATGACCCCCCCCAATGAACACACCAGAGAGGGAGGGCGAGACGATCGAGGGGTCCCGTACCACGCGGAATCGACCCTATCCAGTGCTCAAGTGCTCAAGTTGGAGATGGAGTCAGGGCTCGCGTACTCGGAGCGCCGCCTCACCCGGCGCCGCTGGTTTGAGGCGGTGCGGCGGCGCGTTCATCGGACATCGCCCTCCACGCCGACCCCTGCGCACTTGGAGCACTTGGAGTGCAGTCGGCAGCCTCACATCCAGGGCCGGGGAGCTAAGAAGCACACCCAGCGAGCCAGATGATCGGGATCGGGTTGCGGGCAAGAGAGCCCTAGCCCTGGGGGGTGCGCGTTCGCAGGGAAGGGCCGTAAAGTAAACACGGTTCTCCGAGGGTTAGCTCTGCGCTCCGGGTTTCCCCTAGCAGCGGAAAGCCCCCTCTACTCGGAGCTAGTAGACACCAGACACTAGCACGACAACACACACACACTGACATCCCCGCTTGGGAAATTTTGGTGAGTCGTCTCAGTCTCACGTGAATTCGTCCCTGTCTCACTCTCAGCGTCTCAGCGGTGTCTCAATAGATCCATCACTCCGTCTCACTTCCGTCTCACTTCCGTCTCTGACTGCCTTCTCGTCCGTCTCAGCGCGGCAGGCTCCCGAGAGTGCCGAGATTGCCCAAGATAACCCGTGCAACCTCATGAGGTGGTCGGGGCAGTGTGGCAGGCGCCCGAGAGTACCCGAGATCGCCCTCGTGATGTGGTCTGATGTGCAGAGTTCACCTCAGGGCACTGGCAGGAGCCCAATCACGCAACCTCGGGCAATCTCGGGTATTCTCGGGCGCCTCCCACTGCCCCGACCACATCACGACGTTGCACGGGTACTCTCGGGCAATCTGGGCACTCTCGGGCGCTCTCGGGCGCTCTCGGGCACTCTCGGGAGCCTGTCGCGCTTGAGACGGACGAGAAGGCAGGAAGAGACTGCGGTGAGACGGAAGTGAGACGGAGTGATGGATCTATTGAGACACCGCTGAGACGGCAGGAAGGAGAGACGGAAGTGAGACGGAAGTGAGACGGAGTGAAGGATCTATTGAGACACCGCTGAGACGCTGAGAGTGAGACAGGGACGAATTCACGTGAGACTGAGACGAATCAACGTGACGCCCCCGCTTGGAGCCTCCCCCCGCCCGCTCCGCGCGTACTTTCTTTTTTGTCTCAACTTCTTTGTCTTTGCGACGAATGAGCGCGCTTGAACGCCGATCTGCGTAAACGTCCAAAGAAGGGTGTCAAATTCTTTTCCCTCGCGATGTCCACCCCGTCGCGCCGCTCGCGCGGCCTCGCCACCGCCGCCACCGCCGCTCCCTCGCCAGACACGCCGCCACCCGCCCGCCTCCTCGACCTCCCCACGGAGCTCCTCGAGCGCGCCCTCTCTCGCTGCGACAACCCCCTCGACATCGCTCGCGTCGCGGCCGTCTCGCTACTCTTCCACGCCTCGCTCGCGGCGGAAGGCATCCGCTTGTGGGCGCAAGAGCGCGGCTTCGAGCTTCCCGCGCAGCCAGAGGGCGAGAGCTGCGCCGTGCAGTGGCTGTGCTTCGCTGCGCTGCTGCGCGAGGCCAACCCGCCCGCGAGGGCGGCGGCAGGCCAACGGCACAGCGTCTTCATCGACGGCGAGGGGCGGCTCTCGTCGTGCGGCTCAGATTACCCTGTTGCCTACTACCTCCCAGGAGGATCAGTGGCGAGCTCCTTCCTCGGCCACGGCGAGGGCGTGGCGCAGCTCAACACACCGACACGCCTCCCGTCGATGCTGGGCGACGAGCGCGCCGTGAGTGTGCCGTCTGGAATCGCGCACAGCCTGGCCCTCACCGCCGATGGCGCCGTCTGGAGTTGGGGCTACGGAAGCCATGGCCGGCTAGGTCACAGTGACTGGCAGGCCCAGCTGCTACCCAAGAAGATCGAGGGCTTTGCTGGCCAGCGCGTCGTGTCTGTGTCGGCGGGGGGTCAGTACAGCCTCGCCCTCACCGCCGACGGCGCTCTCTGGAGCTGGGGCTATGGAGACTTTGGCAGCCTGGGCCACGGCGACCAGCAGGACCAGCTGCTGCCGAAGAAGCTCGAGGCCTTGGCTGGCCAGCTCGTCGTCGCTGTGTCGGCTGGAACCGCGCACAGCCTGGCTATCACCGCCGACGGCGCCGTCTGGAGCTGGGGCTATGGACGCTTTGGCCGTTTGGGCCACAATAACGAGCAGAACCAGCTGCTGCCGAAGAAGGTCGAGGCCTTTGCAGGGCGGTGCGTCGTCGCTGTGTCGGCTGGGTGGGGGCACAGCCTCGCCATCACCGCAGACGTCAGCGTCTGGAGCTGGGGCGATGGAGTCCTTGGCAAGCTGGGCCACGGCGACCGGCAGCGCCAGCTGCTACCCAAGAAGATTGAGCCCTTTGCTGACCAGCGCGTCGTCGCTGTGTCGGCTGGAGGCAACCACAGCCTCTCCCTCACCGCCGACGGCGCCGTCTGGAGCTGGGGCTGGGGAGGCTTTGGCAGCCTGGGCCACGGCGACCAGCAGGAGCAGCTGCTGCCGAA